GAAATGGATGTGCGCAAGGTAATATTATACTGGATAATAAATATATATATATATATATATATATATATAGTTAAATATATATATATATATATATATATATATATATTATATATATGAAATTATTCCGAAAGTATTCAAGTTTTAATTTACGCAGTTGCCGGTAGATGGCAGTAACACGTACCACTGAAGCCAGTTGTAGTAAACAGAGGGAATTATGAATAACCCTGTATGTGTATATATATACATATACTGAATTTGACATGGATTTGCAGGTCCCTAGTAATAGATGGATAGTGACAGAATAATATTACTTAGAAATTAATGCAAGATTTGCACTCTTTTATACTAGTTGTTTTCTTGTTTTGAGGAAATTTAAAACAAAAAGTCTTTCAGATAAGGTGATAGCCTTCAAGGGAATGATGCAAGTTATTGCTTCATTTGACAATGATAGAGTCAAAACTTAACATGAAAGGGGATTTTTGAATACGTTTTCAAAAATGATATTAAATATTAAAAAACAATCTGTCCTTTTTTTCATCTGTCTTATTTACAAATTTTGCTTGCCCTTAACACCACTTCTAAGAGATGCAAAACGATACAACAATTAAACTTGTTGAAAGCATTTTCTGATTCAGATTTGGAAGATCTAGATATTTTCATGAACCAGGATTTTTAAATGATACGGAAACTGAAGATAAAACAACTTCGAAACTTTTATTCCATTCTGTGTGTGTAGGATATTGTTTTGAAAAATAAACTTGGGGAAGATGAAGTGGAAAATCAAATTCTAGAGTAAAGTGCAAACAAAATGAAAAAGTGAAAAATTAGTTATAAAATTGAATAAGAAAGTGAAGTTTGATGATCTAACAGAATTAAAAAAACCGGCAGCAATTTTGTAAAAAGTATAATGAACGCTTGATTTTTGCTCGCTCTGATGTATTTTAAAAACTATTCCTGGAAACTATGTAGAGTATCTTGTCAATATATAATCAATTTAAGCTTTAAAAAAGTTTAAACTATTAATATATTTCACAAAATGAATTATTTTTTAATGCACTTCTAAGAGGAAATCACTTTGTTCGGTCGAAGATAAATACTGGAGCGCAGCTGTAGCGATCTTGACCACAGCCTATAAAAAATGCCCCTGTGTTCCAAAAATGAGACAACATTAAAAACGCACCTTAAATTTCTTTTTTTCAATTTCTTTTACTTAGATGTTTTTTAGAACTGAATTTATCAAATTTTAAGTTATTTGTTTAACCCCTTTTTCTTGGGCATTTAAATAGTTAAACTGTCTTAGACTATAGACATAATGCTTCAGGCAAAATACTTCATCATGTGACTTTAAATTCTGTATAGAAACAACGATAAAAAAGGACAGAATGATATTATTTTGGACTTACCAATGAGGTCTACTTGTTGATTTTACAACTGGGGTAAAACCTTCATGGAACAACAGTAGAACTTTACTAAAGTTAACAAAGGTGAACACAACACGCTGAAAGAAAAATATACATAATTTAAATTATTTCACTACTTATAGATACACAATCTTAAAATAAATAACAAAAAATAGAAAAAGTCTGCTTAAACGTACTTACACCATATTCAATTATTTAATTATCATACAATAGAAAAGCCAACTATGTTTTTGTGCAATTTTTACTATATTTTTGATATTAGTTTTGCTGACGTAGAAAAAACTGTCTCGACATAATTTATGTTTTAGCTTACAAAATTACATTTTCTTTACAACAAATGAAAAAAAAACACTTTGTGTAATTACTTTTATCTATTGTATATAGTTTTTTTTTAATAAAATATCTATAAAATAGTTTGATTGATGGATTTTGATGCGAAAACATCCACCCTCGAAATTTTCTACACGTTTCCATTCATCAGTATTAGTAGACAAGAAAAAATCACACACAAAAAACCGATGAAGTAAAAAAAAAAAACACTTTTTCAAAGGTTTTTTCCTTGTGAAGAAAAAAAATCGAAACAAAGGAAGAGAAGTAAAGTATTGAAGTCACAAAGTCTAAGGTAGGCTGTAGAAATTGAAGGAAGCGAAAAAGCTGTTGCCAACACCAAGGAGTAATAAAAATCTGTAAAAGAAAGGAAGAGACTGCGAGAACAATTACGGAAAAGAAAGGGAAATATATATATCGGTCAACACTTTCCATTTAGAAGATTGCAGGCGGTTGGATTTAAAAGTAATCGCAAGTAGTAGGGTGCAGAATTTTTTCCCTCGCTTTTGTGTCGGCATTTTGTCAGTATTAAGACTAGTAGGTGAGGTTTCTAAGGGTATCTTCATGCTGACATAGAAAGGCAGCCATTTTTGAATACATTTTAGTTGCTATTGAACTAAAATAAATAAATGGATAAAGTTTAATATGCTGACCATGAGTTTTTGCTGCTAAAAATAAAGAATAACATGTTAACAAAATCATTTATTGAGCTTTCACTAAAAGGCCGGGATAGCCTAGATTGTAGGGCGTTAATCTCGTGTTCGTGATAACGTGTGTTCAAATCCCAACTGTCGAATAAAATCCCCATGCATTAAATGATGACTGATGCGCGCTAAATCTGTCGGGATCACAAAGTCCTCCAAGTTCCCATAGCAAATCAATATCTCGGGGAATACTAAATTGGATATTGATCAAAATTACGATCTGCGGATAAAGATGTGTGATGAAGTATGATCGGGCTTTCCCTGTAAAACAGGCTGTAACGGGTGTGTGGCTGAAGTTGTACTCTTGACCATGGAAGGCGCTACTGTAAAAAAACAGAAACGTACCCTCTGCCTTAACAAATTGCTTGATTTCCCACGCAGACTTGCTGATATTAGCAAGTGGCTTTAATAACAACAAAAGCAACAATATTCGTCAAAGGCGTGGTTCCATTCAAGCATCACTTTCTGTGGTCAGTGAGTGGGTGGGTGATCAATTTGATTAGCATGAGATCGAACCAAGAATGCGCAGTATCGGTATTCATTAAACTCTTCTTCCCTATCGGTTCTTGTTATACGGTAAAATGTTCGCACCAGTCGTCAAGTTACTAAAGCGGAAAGAACCATCCTTCTGCAGAAGATAAAACATGTGATGGCATGTCTTTGGATCATCCTCAGTATTTTTCCCAAGACCATTACCAACAGCCCATTTTGCAGCCTCAGTTCAACGAACATAAAGTACTACTATCGCATTCATCATTAGTGAATGCTGATTACAACTCTCAGTATGAAGCGAAGTAATATGATGTTTTTTAAAAATATTTATTCAACATTAATTATTAGCTCATGCTGAATATCACCACAATGAATTGATTTTTTTTTATCAGATGCCCTTAAATAGTCACAGAAATCTAAGATTCTTTTAAAAAGTCAAAAGTTCTTTATGAAGCACAATCTTTTTTCACACTTCAGAAATTCAAATTTATTCATATCTTTTCGCGTAAATAAATCGTGGTATACAAGTTATATGAAACTGAAAAGTTCACGATTGATCACAAGTGTTTATGTTGGACATTTTTCGTATGCGACCGATTTGTAATTGGGAAGGTTACATCCAAGTAAAAAATATCCTACAGATATTTTTATTTTATATTTTGCAGTATATTAGTACATGAAGCTACTAAGAAACTTATTTATTAAAAAAGGTAACTCATAAATATTTCGTGTTGTCGGTGAGTTTTCAAAATATTAGAACTTCTTGAATTTTGAACTTCATATGCATTATAATACAGTGTTTTAAAAACTCTAAAACACGCAAAATTAATTTTACAGACAGGAAAAAATTCCTCTTGATTAGAATACAATGCGATTTCAAATATGTCAATTTAAATAGTTCCAATGAGTTGTTTCCATTTGGTACCATTGTGACTCAGACAATTTATACTTTCTATTTTAGGCAGTGAAAAAGTTTTATTTAAAATTTGTGTACATTAAGTTTAAAAAAAGAAATTTTATTAGTTATACAATAATATTCGGCATATTTATTTTCTAAATTTAATGTCATAAAATGTAATGTTTGTTTTTTGGTATAAAATATGTTCAATTAAAACAGTACCAATGAGTTGTTTCCATTTGGTACCACTGTAACTTAGGACAATTTATGCTTTCTATTTTAGGGGGTGAAAAGGCTTTATTTAAAATTCGTTTGTGCTCAAAAAACATGTTGCTAAATAAAACGTATGCGTCTTTAAAGGTGGTCTTTCTCAAAATTTGACTATAGATGTTAAAGCTAAAAATTAAGATGGGAAAATTGTTTTAGGGTCCAACCTGCTTCCCAACACTTCTGTTTATTTCAATAAATATTTCATAAATATTATGCTATATCCGAGAAAAAAATAATTTTCGCTTCAAAGTTGACGTAAAAGAAAGGGCGGCAGGTTCCGACCATTTGAACCTGAAGCTTCTTATCAGAATGATAGTACGTGAATGATGAAAAAAAGAAACAGTTAAGAAGCATGAAAAGGATTAAAAAAAGAAAATGACATTGAATAAACATTAAAAATAACATTAAATGTGATTTTAACATTCTAAGCATCTGATGATATATTCACTGATTTGTTTAGAAAACAAACAAGAAATTATCCAGAAAATATAAATTGTATTCTGCGTAAAATCTCATGAATTATCATACATCAAGCACTTTTTAAGTAAGCAGTGCAACCATGAATCCGTTAATTTTTTTATTTTATAAATTGCCGAGTTTTATCTATATCAAGGCACAATCCTCAGAAAATTACAAATGTAATTATTTACTAACATGACTCATTTGTTCGTGACTTTACCAATTTCTAATAGTTAAAAACAAAAATTTTTAAATATATTATAATTTTACATTATGCCGGTTATACTTTATTATGTACCTATTAATACAATTTAAAACGGTTACATTTTTGCACTTATTTTTGTAACTCTAGTATCTGATTTTAATATAAAAACGTTCAGATCATAATGGTGACCAAATATGGAAGACTCTCCAAGCTCAGAGAATCAGTTTTCGAAATTTCAATGGCTTACTTTTAAAGCTGTATATACATTCTCATTGTGATATTTTCCTATCTAAGTTAAGGAGGAATAACAGTGAACTTTAGCTAATGTGACAGGTGAACTTTCGTAGGAAATGTTACTGCTCGATGTTGACGAGTGATTTATATTAAATGTATAACTCAAAAGTTTGGTCAAAACATCATTTTAAGCAATGTTATTTTATTAGTTCAAAGAGTGCCTAAATGTTCATCATACGTGCTTACTCTAAACTCCTTTTTATATTCACATATGCATATTCTAAAGTCATATTTAGATTCGTATATCAGAAATCATTTGGGGATTATCATATGCATACTCATTCATGACAAAATATGCATATAATAGACAAAATCATTTTAAGATTAAAATATTTGTTAAAATTAGTAAGCAAAAAACGTATTAAAATTATATTACAAAAAGTAAACATTTTTACCATCTTCTTCATGCATAACGTGTACTGAAATATCGAGGTAAGATTCATATAAGGTTCTCAACATATTTTGAAATTTTTTTTAATTTATCTGAGACTTTAACGATTTTTTTTGTCTTAGATTTTAATAAGATCATTATTTCAGTATTCAATATATAAGCTCTCACTATTCAATTAAAAGAAAAAGTGCATAAAATAGTTAATGCAATATTTATAGTTAATTTCTCAATATCTAAATTCAATTTTCTGAAAGTTCTAAAAATCAATTTTAGACAAGTTTATGAAACTAACTTTCATATATGTTCACTTTGAAATTATACGGATGTTTGCTTCCTAGTGTTTCAATCAATTAACTGTTTAGTTAAAACGTTAAACTATTTTAGAATATGTTTTCAAAATGGTTTTTGTTTACTATGTTTTTACAGTTTCAGGAATGATTAAATTAAAATAGTATTGTCCCAATAAAGTGGAAGTAAAATAATAACATCTTATAATATTTTTAGCTTTATGTATAATAGAAAATTATTACATTTACTCTCAACCTATTTTTTATACTAATCACACATCAATTATAAAAAAATTTAATATAAAATGCTTTATTTTTCTATGGGGCAAACTGGTGGAAACAAAAAAGAAATTATAGAACAAAATATTTCAAGTGATAAAATTAAGCAATTTAAATTATTGTATTGCCGCAACATGTCACTAATTATCGCTATTTTCTAACGATATAGCGATATAAAAACTCTTAAATAGCTCAATATGATTCTTGACTATAGATAATGAAAAAATATCGAATATGTCATTTACACTTTCAAACGTTCTGTGTCAACACGAAAATTTCCAAAGCTCTCTGATACCACTACACTATAAAAATATTTTAGTGTATTTCTACGCCAAAACTATTGGCAACTACAGTACACCAAAATGGTGATGCACTACACCAAATACCAAGGATAATTCTACTGTAGTGAAACACCAAGAATTTTCTTTTATACTTTTTGGTGTACAGTATCCACCACCATTTTTGTTATTC